TTTCAACCTCCCACCTCTGTCTACCTTTGGCTCAAACATGCTCATCCCTCGTACTCACCCACTCAGCTGCCTGTTATTTCACTCCCCCATCAGTTCACACAGGCCCAGTCTAAAGTATTACCTGCCATTTTAGCTGCATCTATTCTCATCTGTGTGTGTCAGCATTGGACTTTAAAGTGAAGTAAAATTGATTTATCTTATTCCTAAATCACATGGATATGCCAAAAAACATAACTGCCTTGTTATTAGGCAGTTAGCTAATTTATTTATTTTTTTTTTATCACACAACACTTTTGAACAGTTAGTACTTGGATCATTAACTTGAGGTGTTGGACATTAAAATTAGCCTTCAGATTCCCTGGATGCCTGTTAAGTACTATCATTCAAAACCTAAAAATGAACTGCAGAAACAATTTAATCATATATAGAAGACTTTTGATCATAATGCAAATAAAGTGTGACTTCTCTAAGAGGTTAGATTAAATCATAAATTTCACATAAGCTTTCAAAAGTTAACAAGTACAAAAACGACTTTAAAGTATCTACAAATAAAGAAATAAAAATAATAGAAATAATTACTAGGGATACACAATATATTTCCCACTTCTATGTTTGCAATGGAAAATCACAACATGCATATTCAGTTGATTTTGATGCCTTATGGGTTGATTGTCTGTGCAATCAGTGCTTCATCAGGAATTGTTCGTTGATTGAGGACTGGTAGAAGCAGGAGAAGATTTATTAATATTTAACAACAACAAATGGCATTTTTGCATCTACAATTCTGCCTACTGATGGATTTCCAGTGGTGTAGTACAATAACGCAGATCTGCAAAGATTTAGTTGAGACTGACATTCCTAGATCTTGACCTTGACCTTGTTGTGTGTAAAATCCTGGTGTTAAAATATGCATCTTCTCCATCTTCAGGGGTTTTCGGATCATAGAATGCTCACAGGGACTTCTGGTTGTTCGTGCTCTGCTCTGCTGGAGCTGTGACTGAGTTAAACATTAAAAGCTACATACATTCATTGACTCTCTCTGGCGTTTCACTCAATAAAAGGCTTGTGGAAGGAGCCGTCTTCCTTAAAATATGGTAATCCCAGACTGCAGCCAGCTGCAGAAAAACTCAGCTAGATTCTGAGGTAAGAAGCGTACAACGTAAGCTGCTAGAGAGGCGAACGAGAGACTTTAATGAGGTTACTGACACTTGAGGAGCCAACTGGAATAAAATGACTGGCAGTTTAATTCAAATGCATCTCTTTTTCACTTACTTTGTCCCGAGTTGGCACACTGACCCAAAATATAAACTGATTTTTGTACTTTTTGGGTTGCAGATTATGTACAGCATTACCAGCTATTTAATTCTGTGTTTAATCTTCAATTTTCACTTTTTTGGCAATACTTGTGTTCGTTCAAGAAACTCGTCATCACCATATCGCTGGTTGGTGATAGCAAATAAAAGGGCCCAAAAAATATGACAATCTTCTCATCTCAATCCACTTAACTTTGTTGTTTTAATGTTTTGGTTCAGCGAGAAAGCACCCTTTAGGGAAGTAAATAATCATTTATCTTTCACCAGTTTAAACAAATGGTTTGATTTAAGAAGCTGCTGAGACTTGTGCTGGAAGGCACATTGTATGTGTCTCTCCGTGTGTGTGTGTTGAAGCTAAGAGTGGGGGGTAGTGGCACGTGCCTTGTCAGATCCCAAAAGGATGAATAAGAAGCTAATCTCTGTCTTCCAGGGAATTCCGTGTCTCAGACAGTTTTCTCTCAGAGAATCTGTGGGAGTGCAGTGGAGCGTTGTCTCCCATGTCTACAATGGGATGTTTTCTTAGCCCTGCCTGTGCACAAGATAAATGCATTTCCTCCACAAACATGAACAATGCACCCACACACTCTACATAGGTGTACACATAAAGGCAGGTGCTCATGATTAGGTCTCTGATTCTTTTTATTTATTTGGAGCACTGCTCTATATTTACATACCATTCACAGTGTGCTCATTATATTCAAAAGAAAACTTGCATTATTCCAGGCTGGTGAATGTGTACAGGTGACTTCAGAAAAATAAAGAAATAATATACTTTGATAAATAGAACATTTTGCGACATATCTGATTCTGCACTATATTAACTTAGTCTAGTTTTTCCATCTAGAAAGGTTCTGTAGAAAGAAATTTAAAGACAGTGTGAGGGAAATAAATGTTAGGGAAAAAGTCTCAAGAAAATTTTTACTTTTTTTAGATTTTAACATGTTGAAAATGTTAATGCTACTAATTGCTCTTTTTTAACATATAAATTTGTAGCTGGCACATTTGTATTTGTATATTTCTGGTGTGCTCGTAAATCTGTCACATAAGCGACATCTGTGAACCCACTAGGTGTTAATCTTTTCTTCAAAAAGCTACCTGATAGGACACTGGAATGATGTTGTGTGCAAGTTGTGTAGAAGCTCTTCAAACCTAAAATACTATCTCAATGCAAAACATGTTACAGCAAGCAAAGACATACCCCGCGCTAATGTCAGGGTCCACTGTTCATGTTTCTAAAGAAGTTATTTTTCAAAGAAGTTACATGAATAATCTGGTATTCCTGAAACACTTGAAAGCTGAATGAGTATTATAGCACTTTGCACTAATGTGACATTTGAATAACCTGAATAACAGATTAAAAACAACAAATATCTTTGTTTTTGAGCTCATATGTCTATTTGTTTTATAATTTAGCAGCAAAAAGGGCTTTTCAATTTAGAATATTGCTTCTTTTGCCGATGTATATTTTTTTGATTGCAACCACAGAAATTATGGACCTCAGAACATAGGTTCAACTTTTGACTGGGTTCCAAGCAAATGTTCTCTTTGCATGGAATATTATATTTTCTTTTCTTTGCATTTCATTGAATAAAAATGGGAGTCAAACATACTAATGTTGAATAGTTAATTAGTCAGGCAGGTAGCCAAACAACAGTTGGCTGCTTAGCTTGCCAAATATAATTTGAATACTCTATCTCAGTAAAAATGGGATGTGGTTGTTTTTTTTTATTTCCACTACATGATTATTTAAATATTTGCTGCAACCAAAAATATTTCCAAACAGCCAGCTTTATCTTTCTATTAATTTTGGTTAAACATTAGTCTGATTCTAACAAGTAAGAGAAGTAGGAGGGAACATTTGAGTGATTTGGATACTTTGGCTTCAAACCTTTGTAATGTCTTGAAAGTGCAAGCAAGCCAGTACACAGTTGGGAATTAATATATTAATTAATTAGCTATAGCTAGCAGCCAAAAAAACAACAATAACAAAAAAATTAGATAGCCTGTCTTTACTATGATAGCTAAAATTTCATCACAATGGTAAGAGACACAGTGAACATGACTGTTTTTGTTGTTGTGTCTTTGGTAAAGACTATAAAAAAATTACTTGGCTATTTGTTAAGAAAGTTTACAGAGTTATCAAAAGTGGATGCATTTTACATTTCAAATAAAATGAGCATTTTCCTTTGTGCTTGAAGAATTCTCTGATGATTCCACAAATATTCCTTGAATGCAAAAAACTTTCATCTTAATTTCATTTCTCGATAAAACATATTTATATTTATTCATCACACTATATTAATATTAACAGAATATTTTGTTAACAGGTACACACAAGATTTTGTTGCAGTGTTGTGTAATGATAGAAAAAACAACAGTTTGATTACATTAGACACGTCATAGTGCAGTCCGTGCCATGACAGCCTCATAACAAAAGCAACAACACAAGTTTTGTTTATCCTCTTTGATGCACAGTTGTACAGTAGAACATCCAAGCATACGCTATTTGAGTCTGCAGAGCTGAGATGTGTGTCATGTCAGGGTGGAGCTGGGACCCAGCCAGCACCTAGGTGGGCCCCATATGGGATATAAGTGGGCAGGCAATATGGGTCCCAAAAGGGTTTGTCCACGGTTTCCATGGTGGCCCCACATGGGTTTGCCCAAGTAGATTTTAATGGGTGCTAACTGGGTTTTCAGTGGGTCCCACATGGTTAACTCACATGAGGCCCATCTGTGGCCCACTAGGGTGCTGTCAAGAATATTTACGTGGGTCCCAATTGGGTCTGAACTGGGCTAGAATATGGGTAACAAGTGGGTTTGTCCACGGTTTCCATGGTGGCCCCACATGGGTTTGCCCAGGTAAATTTTTATGGGTGCTAACTGGGTTTTCAGTGGGGCCCATGTGGTTAACTCACATGAGGCCCATCTGTGGCCCACTAGGGTGCTGTCAGGAATATTTACCTGGGTCCCAATTGGGTCTGAACTGGGCTAGAATATGGGTACCAAGTGGGTTTGTCCACGGTTTCCATGGTGGCCCCACATGGGTTTGCCCAAGTAGATTTTAATGGGTGCTGACTGGGTTTTCAGTGGGTCCCACATGGTTAACTTACATGAGGCTCATCTGTGGCCCACTAGGGTGCTGTCAAGAATATTTACCTGGGTCCCAATTGGGTCTGAACTGGGCTAGAATATGGGTACCAAGTGGGTTTGTCCACGGTTTCCATGGTGGCCCCACATGGGTTTGCCCAAGTAGATTTTAATGGGTGCTGACTGGGTTTTCAGTGGGTCCCACATGGTTAACTTACATGAGGCCCATCTGTGGCCCACTAGGGTGCTGTCAGGAATATTTACCTGGGTCCTAATTGGGTCTGAACTGGGCTAGAATATGGGTACCAAGTGGGTTTGTCCACGGTTTCCATGGTGGCCCCACATGGGTTTGCCCAGGTTGATTTCAATGGGTGCTGACTGGGCTTTCAGCGGGACCCAGATGCCTTAATCCTGTAGGAACAATTCTCATCTAACCTGGATGTGAATTACATTCATAGATATGCAATCTTGATCAACAATTCAAAGTCTAGCTTAAAACGTGTTCAAATAAAAAATAAAAAAAAAGAGATGAAAAATTTATTTTGCTCAAGGCTTTTATTCAGTAATTTAAAATATTGTCAGGAGTTATTTTTACCTCACTACAGCAATTATTAGAACTTCATTAATACTCAGGGAATGGTGCCACAAAAAGAAATCTGCAATTATTCACGACATCTTTGAAAATAACAGAAGCTAGTTTACTATAACAAACTTATAAACAGATCTATAAATATATATCTATAGATGCACACAAATAAAGACACCTACATATTTTCCTACAGGTCTATAAATGTATACATCTAAATACTATCTATATAACTTTATACACGTATATTCACATTGATACACACAATGTGAATATACACACCTATATAGATCTTTCACAATACATTTTTGTTAAACATTTTTAAAAATAACCTACATGCCATATGCATGCTTAAATTTGAAATCTCTCATACTTTACTGAAACTGTCCATCTTGAAAGACCTCCCCAACCTGAGTTTGAACTGGCAGTCTCTCTAGTCTATTTCCACTTCCACTCGGGCTCCAGTAAACCACTTCGAGAGTCTTTGCTGTATGCTTGTGTGATTCTGTAGATGGATAATTTCTTTTAAGTCCCCTGAAATAACAAGCAAAGGTAGAAATTGTATTAGTGTTTCATTTTAGCACAATGTAACATTCATGAGATTTGCATCTCCCCCTTCATGGGGCAAAAATGCTTGCAGAGATATGCCATAATCAAAAGGACTCTTGAGTCATCATTATTATGTACAGAAACTATATTCTTACTGTAAATTTAAAATATATCCATCTATATAAATCAACTACTAGGTTCTATCGTGGTTTTGTGGTTATTTTAATATTGTTTGAAATGCAAACAATATTACCTTCAAATTTTTAAGTTCTTAACAACAGTGAAAGAATACTGTTCAAATAAAACCAAAAATTGAAGACTCAATTTTTAACCTAAAAACATTACTAAAAATAACAAACAAAAGCATAAAACAACCAAAATAAATTAACATATGTTTAAGAAAGAAAAGTGAAAAAAAAAGTTACTCTGACAATAAAAACTGATATTTACCATACAAAACATCAAAGAGACGCAGGTCCAAGAGCTTGTTTCCAATGTTGGCCAAAAAGGTTGAACTGGACTTCCAGTTCATGGGACATGAGGAATCGCACAGCTGGTTGTATAGTGTCATCTAAGGATGCTCCTCCAATTTCTGTAGCCATGGCAACCTTAAGTACAATGACAATAACAGGACAACATTTGTTTTTGTTCATCAGTTTGTTATTATATCACTCTTATGTGCTTAATTTTACTAACATATTAATCTACCTTTTTCAAATCATTATAAAGTGATCTTCACACGCTGATCCTCTTGAAGCCTGCATAAATATATTTTAGTGCAATATAACATTTAGACTTTTCAAAAAAATAAAAAAATTAAGGCAAAACAGCCTTTGTATAGATTAACTACTGAAGCCTTATATTGTAAACACTGAACAGTTTTGCAATTATCCTAATTTCTTTGTTAGTGACAGGACTAAGACAGTAGTATTACTCTTAAGAGAAGTTTAGAAAATCACTATAAATGTAACTAATAAAGCCTAAAACATTGTACATATAAAAAAATTAGAGCTACAATTAAATATAAGTACATTTCACATAACTGCTAGCTAAATATTGCAAAAATATCAAAAAGAATTTCTTCATCTTTCAATATTTGTTTCAGGCTTGGCCACTGATTGACATGATGGGTTTCAATTTACGGACCCACATGCAGTAACCACACGTTGGATAGGGATGAGTGAGTGATTTATTTACAACAGGACAAAATAAAATCTATTTCCCGGACATCAGCGGAAGGGTGAGGACCACTCGACCAGGTTGGCCTGAAACGAGAACTTAGTTATGACGGGCTTAGAATGAGTGATCGGAGGGGAAACAGGAACAGGCTTACTTCGGTGCGGGTCTTTCGAGGCGTGGGTGTGAGATGCCAGGTTCCTGAGAGAGGGTGTGCAGCGGTTCCGAAGGTAAATGCGAGGTGGGAATGGAAGACAGCTGGAAGCTCGAAGGGTGGAGTGGAGGCAGTGGAATCGGCGGAGCGAGCAGGCAGGTATTCACTGGTGAGTTCTCGAATGAGGCGACAAAACCCCTAGGATCGAACAAACACAGAGACCAGGTGACTTCTAGTAGACACAGAAACATTCTCAGAAAACTGTTCACAACAGGAGAGGCCAGAGTGACTACCGGTGTATGCAACCATCTAGCATACACCAGTAGAATCTTCAGTCAAACTAGCGTAGACTGAAGATTCTGCTGCTCCTCCACCTGTGCCAAGCTCCACGGGCTCCTCACAAAGATCCTCGCTGAAATAAGATGCGACACTCACATACACACACAGGAACCCTGACACTGATGACTACTCTAGACCAACACAATAGCGGCAGATTGAAATAAACTCTGACATAACAAAACGCTTTAAAGTGTCACACAACAATTAAAAAAGAATTTAAAAATATGAACTACAATGCCTTCATCCTATTTACAAAAAACCTTTTAGGCCCAATATACTGAAACCACATGGGCCCCATATAGTGTTCCCATTTCTGTCCCATGCCCAGTTAGCCCACGTTAATGCTGAATTGGGCCCATACATTTAACCCAATTGAGCCAACAATATGAGTCCCATTTCGGTTAACCTTTTGAGCCTCACGCAGTTGGCCCAGATAAAACCCATGCCCTCTTATCATTACCTATATAGCCCAAAGCTAAACGATTCAATGCAGTTTTATTGAAAAAAACGACAATAATAATCTTGCATGGGTCCCAGCCAAACCAGCCTGAATCCATACATGAGACCCACCCATGCATGCTGATGTGACTGTGAGAAAGATTATTAAAAGCCCAAGTACATAGAATGAAAGCACAATAGTTACTCTTTTTAAATCATACAAATGGTTTTATTGTGTCCAGACACTTTGTAACAACCTCTGCTAGCAACATAGATTCTTCAGTGAACCGATTTCATTCTACCTCGTTGGCGCTCAAATGAACCAATGGCAGCTCAACAAATAGAATGGCGGCGGTATTTGAAAATGGTTTGGCCCACAACGCTGCGTTTGAAATCGGTCTGCACTAAAATATGCTTATTGTGTGTAGCTGTGTGTGTTAGCAATATCAGAAAAAGTATCACCCTAAAGAAAAGCAAAAATAACAATAACAATTAAGTCTCTTTTGGGATACTGTCGTCCGATTTGTTACGAGCAACAATTTTTTTAACAAGCGATTTAAAATCTCTCCCTAAAATTTGGTACTAGGTAAAACAGAAGAAATGTACTTACAGATTCTTTCGTAGATCAGCCAACAGGCAGACTCCGCGCCAACGGACTGATGAAGAGAACAGGCTTGATTTTGAAACCGCATATCCATCCGCGGGTCATTTTACGTTTTCCAAGAAACACAGATTAATTTTTGAGAGTGCTACATCGGTTAACAAATGTAAAACCGATGTAGCAAAAGTTCTCAATGTAAATAAATACATTTCGTTGTCCTCCTTATTCAAATATGTTTTGGAACTATTTTCTTCAGTGGATGTGTAAAGTGCCTACCGGTACTTCAATTCACCAACCTTTATTGGCAACGGTGCCTCAGAGCAAACAATGAACAAAAAGGTAATTGGAACCAAATGAATCATTAACAGAAATGTTACGTTTTTATTTTTTATTTTTATTTATACTGATGACTTGGAAAATGTTTGCAAATATATGAAAAAACAGATGCTCAAAATTTTACTCTTGTCTCTCACTTGCTAATGAGTTTTGTTTATTTTCTAAACATTTTGTGATATTTTTCACAATGGTCTTGTCCAAATAAAAATTTAAATCTTGCTGCGAACAGGCTGCAGTAAACTCTATGGATGTCTAAACATCCAATTGATAAAAAATAATAATAAAAATAAAATAAAAAGTTATTATTATTAAAAATAAAACAAGGACTAAAGCTCAACCATGACCACTCTGTGCTTAATTTTGAGTAAGCACCAGAATATGAGTTTACGTATATATTTCAAACAGATTATTTCAAAAAAATGTTTTAAGACATTCAGACTGCAATAATAAAATGAAAAAAAAGTTAGGGGTTCAAAGTGTAGCAAGAGCAATACTGAACTGGCTTTTGCTTTGACATACAGTGAAAAGTTTGAAAGTGACAGGGTAACCACATTGTCGATTAAAATGTTCTACAATTTTGTCCCATTTAGACATGAAAAAAAGTACTAGGGGCTACATTTTCCTGCCCAGGTCCAACCATGTATGGTTAGCCCATGCTCATGTCATGTTAGTTTAATGTGGACAGCCCACATTGGGCTTCTCATGTGGGGCCCATGATACTGAAACCACATGGGCCCCAAATAGTGTTGCCCATTTCTGTCCCATTTCCAGTTAGCCCACATTGTTGCTGAATAGGGCCATACATTTAGCCCAAATGGGCCAGCCCATAGGGGTCCCATTTTAGTTAACCATATGTGTCCCATGAGGTTTGCCCAGATAAAACCCATGACCACTCATTACCCATATGGCCTACTACAAACCCAAGGGGGGCCCACTCATGCGTACTGGCTTGGAGACTGGACTGGACTGTTCTAGCATAAAATAATAACATGAAAAAATGTTAAGGGTTCAAAGTGTGGCTAGAGCAATACTGAACTGGTTTAAAAAAATAAAGCATTGTAGAATTATTTTTAATGTTTTAATATCCTGGTCCTCTGGAAGCCTAGTGTTTGTAAATGAGCCAGGCATAGATATCACACAGTGAACATGTTTTAGGTTCAAACATTAGGAAGACATGGATGTTCTGTTCTATCAGCAAAATATATCCTTGGGTGATCTCCAAGACGAGGTCACCTTCGTCCTGGAGACCTCGACAATGGTCAAGGTCACCAACCTATCGTCGAGGTTTCCTACAAGGAAAAAATTAAATTCTACAATTTACCTTACATCAACTCCATTAGAGGCCAGCTGAGTAACAATTGCCTTGGCAAAGACTATAAAGCTGACATCTCGGGTAATTCTTTCCAAGTTTTGAGAATCTTGCTCTTGCAGCTTTTGCTTTGACATACAGTCAAAATTTTGAAAGTGACAGGTTAACTACAGGGGTTGGACAATGAAACTGAAACACCTGGTTTTAGACCACAATAACTTATTAGCGTGGTGTAGGGCCTCCTTTTGAGGCCAATACAGCATCAATTCGTCTTGGACAAGTATGGGGCCAAGGGAATGCCATGATATGGCAGCCCACACCATCACTGATCCACCCCCATGCTTCACTCTGGCATACAACACTCTGGCTGGAATGCATCTTTGGGGCTTCTCCACACCGTAACTCTCCCGGATGTGGGGAAAACAGTAAAGGTAGACTCATCAGAAAACAATACATGTTTCACATTGTCCACAGCACAAGATTTTCGCTCCTTGCACCATTGAAACCGACGTTTGGCATTGATACGAGTGACCAAAAGTTTGGCTATAGCAGCCCGGCTGTGTATATTGACCATGTGGAGCTCCCGACGGACAGTTTTGGAAACAGGAGTTGACATTTAATTCTACCGTGATTTGGGCACCGTGTTTGTTTTTTTGGGATACAATCCGGGTTAGCACCCAAACATCTCTTTAAGACAGCTTCGTCTTGCATCCACAGTTAATCCTGTTAGATGTGGTTCGTCATTCTTGGTGGTATGCTGACATTACCCTGGATACTGTGGCTCTTGATAATCACAAAGACTTGCTGTCTTGGTGAACAATTTGCCCTCTTTTGAACTCCAGTATGTCCCAAATAATGTTATGTGCATTGCAATATTTTGAGCAAAACTGTGCTCTTACCCTGCTAATTGGACCTTCACACTCTGCTCTTACTGTTGCAATGTGCAATTCATGAAGATTGGCCACCAGGCTAGTCCAATTCAGGCATGAAACCTCCCACACTAAAATGAGAGGTGTTTCAGTTTCATTGTCCAACCCCTGTACATTGTTCTACAATTTTGTCTCATTTAGCCCACTTAAAAAAGGACTGGGGTCTACATATCCACACCCAGGTCCAACCTGGGCGTGGATATGTACTGACCACACTGAACCCACAGTGGGTTCAGTGTGGTCAGCCCACATGGTCTCCCCATGTTGGGCCCATGACATGAGCCCATGCTCATGTCATGTGGGTTCAGTGTGGTCAGCCCACATGGTCTCCCCATGTTGGGCCCATGATACTGAAACCACATGGGCCCCACATAGTTTTGCCCAGTTCTATCCCATTCCCAGTTAGCCCACTTAAAAAAGGACTGGGGCCTACATATCCACACCCAGGTCTAACCCATATATGGTCAGCCCATGCTGATGTCATGTGAGTTCAATGTGGTCTGCCCACATGGGCTTCCCATGTTGGGCCCATGATACTGAAACCACATGGGCCCCATATACTGTTGCCCAGTACTATCCCATTCCCAGATAGCCCACTTAAAAAAGGACTGGGGCCTACATATCCACACCCAGGTCTAACCCATATATGGTCAGCCCATGCTGATGTCATGTGGGTTCAATGTGGTCTGCCCACATGGGCTTCCCATGTTGGGCCATGATACTAGAACCACATGGGCCCCACATACTGTTGCCCAGTACTATCCCATTCCCAGATAGCCCACTTAAAAAAGGACTGGGGCCTACATATCCACACCCAGGTCTAACCCATATATGGTCAGCCCATGCTGATGTCATGTGGGTTCAATGTGGTCAGCCCACATGGGCTTCCCATGTTGGGCCCATGATACTAGAACCACATGGGCCCCACATACTGTTGCCCAGTACTATCCCATTCCCATATAGCCCACTTAAAAAAGGACTGGGGCCCACATATCCACACCCAGGTCTAACCCATATATGGTCAGCCCATGCTGATGTCAT